CAAACACCATACAGAATACGAACAAAAACCGGCAAAGATGGACTATTTTCTGGTATCGGGACAGATGCTAAAGTTTTTGTGAAAATAGATGGTAAACACAATTCTAGTACATACAACACTGTTTTAGATTACAAGCTATGTTTTCTTTTATTAACTAATTAAAGGTGCAAAGAATACATCTGAGGAAATTCAACTTAAACATTCGATTAATCATTCGAATCCATTTGGATACTTAAATACGGACACATTTGAAGTTGGCTCTGATTTAGATATTGGTAAAATTATTTCTGTTCAGTTGTGGTGCAATACTCAAAATAAACATACCACATGGTTTTGTTCCTGGTTAGAAATCGTTGATATTAACAACGATAATCGTGTATACTGTTTTCCATACAATAATTGGCTGACTGAGGAAAAACTCTGGATAAAACTGAGAGATTATGTTAAGACGTCATGTGATACCAAAGAACAATTGAATAGCGTTAAAAAAGACTATAAAAACATGCCAGGTGAACGTACGACAACGGATGCACTTCTATTGAGTGTTGATGAATCTCATATTGATCCACATTTTTATAAAACACAATATTTAGTACAAATAAAAACGGGAGAGAAAGGATTTTATGAAGGTGAGAAGACGACAGATGGAGATGTCAATGTTTGTATGAAAATAATTGGAAAACAAAATGAAGGAGAAACAATGACTTTAAACAAGAATAAAAATATTTCTCATAATGGTAACAATGAGAGACTATACGCACAAGGTAAGAAAACTCATTGCTAAGCTTTATCGTACTATTAACAAGACAATTTGATGAATTTTTTATGTCTAGACAGTATAGACACATTTCACCAAGGAAGTGAACTGGATATCGGTGAAGTTGAACGTATTCAATTGTGGTTAGTTGATGGTGATAAAAATTGTTATTGGCATTGTGAATGGATACAAATAACAGATTTGCAAACCAATAAAGTTTATTGTTTTTATGTTAATCAATTATTGAAATGGCAATTATCAGACAATAACGAAAAATTCAGTGATGATCGTCAATATCGAATTGGTTTTATAGAGTTAGTACAAAATCAACCATTCAGCTGTGAACAAACTGAAGCAGAAAAATTGTTATCGAAAAAAAGAGATAGTAAAAATACCGATCAAATTATCGACGTAGCAGCAACCAATGTGAACTTGAATAATCTTCAAACATTCTATCAAATTCTAACAAAAACTGGTGATAAAGGAATAACAGGTTTCAAAGGAACAGAACCAAATGTTTACTTGAAAGTGTTCGGTTCGAATGATTCAAGCGAGGATATTCACTTAAACAGTGAAAAACAACAAAAACTGTTCAAACGAAGACAAGTAGATAAATTTGATAATTTAGGCAGTCAGTATAAAATAGGTATTTAATAAGCATAGTCCGATGATTTGTGAACTTTTTTTTCAATGAAAAATGATTTTCTATTTAGGAATACCAAAAAAAATTCATCTTTGGCATGATAGTCAAGATAAAAATGATATGTGGTATTGCGATTTTCTTGAATTAAAAGATAAAAGTACAGAAAAAAATTATTGTTTCCCTGTTAATAAGTGGTTGGGTAATAAAGTAGGAACGAAAAGTAAGCCGTTAGAACTAGAAGATTATAATTTAAAAAGTTGTATCAATAGTGAAAACGAAAAACAACAAATAAGAACACCTTTAGCTGATAAAATAGATGACCAACAAGTCGATCAAATCCACAAACTCCTAGCAATGCCACATTTAAATAAAAATGAAATCTTTGGTAGAGCAAAAATACGAAATAATTCAAAATCATCGAATAGTGGACAATTGTATTGTCAAGTACAAGGACCAAATAGTACTTCATCTAATATTCAAACATTAAAAGCATCTATACAAGATTCAGATATTAAAGTGGCTACAATTTTACTTAAGAAATTTGACATCTGTGATGTAAATTTCGTATGAACTACTATTATGTTATTGTGAATAAAAATTAAATTACTTTTATTATTAATTTAGATACAATCATTGCGTGTATGGGATGATGGTAAAGAAAGAGATGCGTATTTTTGTGATTGGTTTGAATTATCCGATCCATTTTCGGCAAAGATTATATGGTAAAAGAATAAATTTAAAATGTGAATTATTTCTAAGTCTCACTATCATTTATCTTCCAGTTTTCCAGTTAATGATTACATTCAAGTTGAATCATCTGCTAGAAATGTAAAGGAAGTGACGAAAAAACACAATTTTAGTTGTGATTTAAAACAGAATTTAGAAAAAAATCCAATAATATATGAAATAATAATAGTCACAGGTTCAAAAACAGTACCTTCTCAACTGAGTGGTCATGTTGGTCGTGTTCATATTATGCTGATCAGAGATAATGAACAGTTAGGTCCATTTGAATTAACACAAGAAGAAGAGAAAATGTTTAGTTGGGGTGGACAAGATACATTTAAGATAACAGCACCTGCTCTAGAAAATGTAAGTATACGAAATGATTGTAAAAACAATCATCGGGGTATTTTCTAGATAACCCATATTCGTGTATGGCATGATAAATCTACAACTCAATCTTGGTTTTGTAATCACATAACAATCGCAAATACATCAACGTTAGCTAAATATAAATTTCCTATTTGTCGGTGGCTTGATCGAGATAATGGTACCGGTAGAATTTACCTTGAAGTTGAATTAGGCAAAGCAGCTGTACAAGTTACGACATCGAAAGGACAAGCAAAATGTGATAATAACAATGCTAATTCTTAGAAATTTCAAAATTTAAATTTTTTCCAACCTGAAGTTATATAGTAACAAAATAGAGATTCATTCTTGATATATTCTCTCATCACTACTAGATAAAATTGATAAACTGCTAGCTGCTGGGTATGATTATGGAAGATTGAGCCAGATGCGAACAAATGAGCCAGTAAGAAAATTGCGTATATTTGTTAACTTCACTTTTATCAAATTGAATTGTGTCAACAACAACGTCTCACGTGTTAACAATTTTCTTATTCGATTATAGTAATTACGAAAAACAATATAAGCCACGAGCAACAACAATTTCTACGTAAAAGTGTATTTTTATGTTATTTTAGTTATTTTTGTCAATTATTGATTTTAAATACATTGCAACGAAAAACGTGTAATTACCACTCAATTTATTTTTTACCCTATTATTAGAATCAAAGAATTTCTTTCACCAGTCTGTCATTTTCATAGGAATTGATGTGCTTT